ACTCACAGATTTTTCTTCCATGTTAGGCAATATGTAAAGTCTCCTAAACCACTTAATCGTATGTATGATTCATCAATTCTACTTTCTAAACGTTAGGTTTTTTATTGGGTTTTTGCTATGTGTGGATGGGTACAAATAGGTTTGAAGGTAGACTCCAAAACATATATATACAGCAACTGTCCCAATAAATCTCGTGATGTGAGAAGGCAGCAAGTAGATGTGGGTCCTGAATGGAAAGAGTTTAAGCACAGACTATCCCTAAACAAACCCACTGGTCCAGATACATATCATATGGTCGCTTATTTCTATTGTCCCTACTCTTGTCATACCAGCGCACACTTCAGATCACTTCTACAACAAGCAGCTCTCAGTGAATTTATCTGATCATTTATTTGACCAGTAGCTGGCACTATGCTAGGTCCAAGTTCTGATTTAAGAAAAAAGTAAGAGGCAGTTAAGCTATTAACCTAGCTAACAATCTGAAAGGTAGGAACTTGATACTGAGTTGAATGGGTTTATAAAAGTGGAAAGTCAGTAACAAAGGAGGATTTGTTCTGAAGAGAAATTCTTCCACCTAAAGAGACAGGAATAAAGAAAACAAGACCTAATAAAGATGTGTTGAAAACTACGAATAAATAGCTAGGAAGGTTAGAGCAAGGACTCACTTAAACATGGAGACATAAATCCTAAACGTGAGAAGTAGTGAGTGCAGAAGGGGGATATCCTGAGACAGCATCAATAATCACAAGGAAAAAGTTCAGTAATTGTTTTGTGTGGAATTACCCTTGATTCATTAATTTCAGAGAAGAAACTGCATTCATGTTTAAAATTACATATACCCGCACCACATATGGTTTAAACTCTAATATTTCCTCCCATGGTAATAATGCAGCCTATACTGAGCTGATTCGAGGTCTCTACACAATGAGAGACAATGGAGCAGACTTTTTACATTGGATTAAATCTATTAAAAAGCAGCCGATTGGGGCACCTGGGTGGCTCAGTGGGTTGAGCCTCTGCCTTCAGCTCAGGTCATGATCCCAGGGTCCTGGGATCGAGCCCCGCATTGGGATCTCTGCTCGGCGGGGAGCCTGCTTCCTCCTCCCTCTCTCTCTGCCTGCCTCTCCGCCTACGTGTGATCTCTGTCTGTCAAATAAATAAATAAAATCTTAAAAAAAAAAAAAAACCAGCAGATTAAAATACAGACTCTGGAGCCAGACTACTCTGGGCAAGTTTCCTCATTTCTCGGTGCTCAGTTTCTTCACCTGCAAAATGAAGATAAACATTTCCCTCCCACAGGATGTCCGTGAGATTTAAAGTTAGTCCATGTACGACAGCTACAACTGAGCACAGCACAACCAGCACTACTACCACTTGAGGTAAGTCATCAACAAAATATAAAAGAGAAAGCTAGAGCGCCAAAGCCACTGCCTGAAAGAAAAACCTGAAGAGAAAGCATCGTCAACGTTGTATTGAGGACGGGTGACTTCTGAGTTCCCTGAAGTCCTGCACCACTTCAGGGAATGCAGGGACGGTGTGGTAACAATAACTTCTGCTGTTAGAACTGAGGAGATGCCATCACTACTGGCTCTATGCCGCTGACTGCTGGGAAGCATGAAAGACAGCGAAGAGTGACAACAGCAATTCCCTCGGAAATCTACCAGGGAGAGTATTAAGATCTAAATTTTGGCATTTTGCTCTTGGATAGTTGCAGCAGAAGTTATTAGGGAAGTTGTCCCGCCAGGGAGACATCCATGAATATATGGGCCAACCAGTCTGGCAGACACCATCAGAACCGGTTCCGCTAACAAAAGGGAATACGATAGGGAAACACAACCAACCACGCTCATGGCAGTTTTTTCAATTCCTGAGGCCCTCCATATGAAACTACTTCTCAGTGTTCTAAAATGTGCTGTTTTAAAAAAAAAAAAAAGTACTGTCTTTGAAACAAGTCCAAATAGCAATAGATCAAATGAAGATCACCCTTTTACCAGAGCTAGCTATATTGTTACATTTCAAAAACTAATACCATTTCAAAACACCAAATAAAACTTAGGTAAATAATAATTTGTCTCTGGAGATATTTATGAAGTAAACTACACAAAATAAATGAATTTAGAACCTCTCTATTAGAAAATGAACAAGAGAAATATGCCAAATATCTTAATGTAATATCACCAATCTCAGCATAAACCAAATTTATCCTGAGTATGGTGTTTTCTATTGGATCAAAGAGATAGTCTTCAAAAAATACACCAGCGGGGCCCCTGGGTGGCTCAGTCAGTTAAGTGTCTGCCTTGGGCTCAGGTCACCATCTCAAGGTCCTGGGATCAAGCCCTCTCCCTCTGCCCCCTTCACCCCAGCTCATGTGCACTCTCTCCGTCAAATAAATAAAATCTAAAAAAATAAAATATAAACCAATATTCTAAGAAATGCAGAGAACATTTTAATTGATTTCCCAATGCCTATTCCTTGCCAGTTGTTTAATAATAATCTGTCATAATAATCTCACCATTCACCCATCTACCACTACCCCACAAATGATTATTTTAGAAATGTGTAGGTTCATGCCAACTTTGGCCACTGGGATCCAATGTTCTGGAAGATTCTGGGGAAATAAATTTTCTGGATTTAAACAGAGTGCCATGAAAAGCCACTGTCTCTCACCCCCAAGATCATTAAAGAGAAAGCAGAGTTCTAACTTCTCTTAACCACCATCCCATAACCACAGGAATCTAAATCTTCCAGTGATACCAATTACTGTGAGTGGCAGAGCTGAGATGCAGAAAGAACCTGGATCTTTGATGATTTGCTTCTAAACTTCCTCTTATATAAACTACTAAGTTCCCTCATTACTTAAATTGGTTTTATATTTGTACCCCAAAACATTCTAATATACACATTTTGTTTTCCAGGTTTATTACTATATAAAAATGTCACCCATATTCATGCGAATGCTAGCAAAAACAAAAAAACAAAAAACTATCCTACTTTAAACAAATGGATACACATATCAGGTTTGTTTGTAATAAATAAATAGGTTTTATTGACAGTTAAATAGGAATATTCAGTAACTCTCTTCAATAATTTCTGGACTATTTCCCTTTAATATTTATCAATAAAGTAGAAAATTAATAAAAACATTTAGAAACATTAAAGTCTCAATTTGAAGCTCAAAAAGGTATAATTTTTAGACTCTAAAATATTAGTCATATTTATACTATTTAAGTCATAACTAAAAGAAGAAAAGTTGTTAATGCTTTTCATACAGTTGATTTTAGCTTTACTAAAAATCTTTGGAATTTGCTGCCTGTGAGTCATATTGATGGAATACATGGGTAGAATGGATTAATTGCAACCTACAGGGAGGCTGAAGTGTTTATTTTAACCATTTGTCATATTTCCAACTTTACTGTGCTGGATAAACTATTAAAATACACAAGAAGATGTTTCTAATGAGTAGTGATTTAAACAATAACAACAGCAAAAAGGCAAGAAAGAAATAAAAGAAGGGCACAAGAAGAAGATAAAAAACTGGAATAACTAGTTCCTAAGGACAAAGGGAGGAAGGAAGGAGTAAAACACTCACAAGTCTTTATGGAAAGGTCACGATCTGACACATGCACAGATCAGGTGTTATGTAAGGTAGATTGATCCTTGTATCAAAATCACTTTAGCATGCATTTAAAATTACAAAGAAATCGTATTTTCTAAAGTAATTTAGCCTATTTTACAAACACGTCGGGTGAACATTAATTCACCCACCTTCGCTAACATTACGGTATAGGTTATTCTGAAAACTAATTCACCATAAATACACTAAAAAATAGATTTAAATTCGAGCTGAAAAAAAAACATATATCCATTTGAGTCTTCAAAGAAAACTTGGTTGTGCCTGGAAAGAATAGATAAATCAACTTTAATACATATAGGACAACAAAAGATAACCTTTTTAATTGGAAAAAGCTCCCTACAATCTAGGATCAGTCTCTGCCTGGAGACAAACCTGATCACAGCTACAGTTCAAACAGGCCAAAAATACAGCAGGCAGGGCCAGTGGAGTCAGGAACATGTGTGACTTCCTACCTAAAATTAGCCATGCCCATTTCACCACAAGCTGGGTTGGGCTTCTCTATTTTAAGGTGTGCAGCTCCAAATTGCTTAAGAGCATATAATTGCTGGTCTGTTTCTGGAGCTAAGAGTGTCAGCAGACTTTCCACCAAGTCTTTAGAATGGACAACTGGTCTCTACAAAATCCCACACTTAATCACCATGTTATCTAGCATCTAAGTACACCGCAAGTGAAATCATACACTGGAAAACATTACACACAAGGACACATCAAAAAGGAAATAAACAAGAAGAGACAGCCCTTATTCCTTTCCACCACACCACCCCTTGATGCATACATATTGTATATGACAAAAGTGGAGGGGAAACCGACGAAAGTGTCCTTGTCTTTTCAGGAAATTATATAGAACTGGCAGGTGAAACCCTTCCAAATGATGTCACACCATTATTTACCTCTCTCTGAAAGTGCTTTGCTACTGGAGTAAATCCAAAAGAAGGGGCTACTCAGTCTGCATTCTGCATTCTGGAAACATTAGAGGGAATTGGTGTGTCTTCCATGTACTGGCAAGAGATTTTCACTAATGTTTAAAAAAGGAGCTAAGTTTTCAAAGACAAATGAAAGAAAATGAAAAGGTGTGCCCTACTACCAAAACTAATGATCACTCTATCAACAAATGATAAAGCTGAGTTCTAAGTTATATGGCCTTAATGTACACATGAAATTTAAGCCGCACAGATGACATTCATGGTTTCTACAACCTCATGGCAAAAACCTAGCATCTACTTTATTATAGTACCTTCAGACACTAGATGCAGAATATACATTTAGTACCATTATTATCCTGATACTATCATGTTCTAGCAATCTACAACACTAACACTTGTTTTGATAGACTCGGTTATTTTAAGAATGAACAAAACACACATACCTTCATTTTCAGAGGCATGACATTTCACTTTCAATACCAAGTCAAAGGTTCTTTCTGGATTTTCCCTAAAAGAAAAAGAATTTTGTTTTATTTATTTCCTATGACAAAAAAGCATCTCTGCAGAGTGTATGTTTTCTTAACTCAAAAAACTAATCATCTTTTTGTTGTAATGTATTCTATGTAACTATACAAGCACAATGTAGAAAATAAGTTTTTTTTTCCCAGTACAGTAATGTAAGAGACTTAGGAGTTCTAAGACCTGGGGCAAACATTTAACCTCTGAGCCTGATTTCTTGTCTATAAAGCGCCTCCTCACTCACATCAAAGAATAGTTCTGAGGATTGTAAATCAACAAATTTATGTGGAAGTACTTTATAAAATATTAAGTGCTATATAAATGTAAAGCATTGACTTTACCTTACTGAATCAAAATTGGAAAGCCAGTATGCTCCTAAATATTTCTACCTTTTCCTGCCAACAAAGCTGGCCAGCAGGTTCTCAGGTTTCCTCCCCACCCCACCACCCACCCCAGGCTTTTTTTTTAAAGGACCTGCAGTGTAAGTGTAAATGATGAATACCTGGTTCCACCTGCCACGATCTAGACCACCATAAAACCGCTCCTAAATTTGACACTTTGCATATGCTTCTCTCGAAATAAAGTAGCGCACTGTACATAAACTCTAAGGCTAACACCACCACCACCAACAAACACCAACAAAACCCTGGTTTTATGTCTATTTAGAGTAATTAGAAATAGACATCTACCTTAATATTTGATTTTCCCACTAGGAACAGTAAGATTGCTTTGCTTCATTCAGAAGTTATCCACTTCTTTGTTAACTTCTCACACATTCAACCAATTCATTGGTTTAATTTCAAAAAGCAAACTGAAATCTACTGAGACACATTTTCTTCAACCGTTCTGTTTTAATCTCTTTCTGCTAGAAGATAAGAGATGAAGCAAAATCTGATACCACAATGCCCACGTGACCAAAGTGTTAATCTATCTGTTATTCCTGTTGAAGGAGAACTTAGTGTCTTTGTACATTAGCTGTTTTAAATATGCACTTCCTTTAATAAAGTAATGCCAGTTTTGGCTTCCAAAAAAACATTCATTTTTCTAAATTTATTACAAGAATCTAGAATCACAGGAAGTAACAAGCTATATAAATTAATTTGCAAATATACAGTTCCTCAGCCAACCCACTATTAACTTATTTCAATGGAAATAATATGCATTTAGGTGACCTCCTCCCTCATAGTCCAATTAATGTCAAAAACTATACTTTTTAAAACACTTACACAGCCCCCCCATGTCAAACCCTGAAGAAAATAATTCTAAATCACATAATTTTCCCATTTTCCTAATATTTATTTAGAATCTCTTAGGTGTAAAACTTAAATAGTGATCCAATTATATGTGAAATTTTACAAGCCTTTCACACTAATACGAAATATGTAGTATTCATTATTTTAAATGGGGGGGGTGGCGGTGTGACTAGAGAGTAAGGGAAGAAATTCTTTGCAAAGTAAGTTTCAGGAAAAAAATAAATAAATAAACATAAACCTAATACCTCTAAGATCCAAAACAAAATCACCACACTTAATCAAATTGCTTTTTTACATAATTAATCTCCCGATGAAAAATATCCACTGATGCAGACACAAATACACTATCTAATGGGATACCATTTTGCAAGCACCATGCATATACCCAGTGCCTATGTAAACACCTATGAGAGGCCAATTTAATTTTATAAGAAAAATTGGAAGAAGACATCTGGAAAACTGATAACCATGATTAAAAATGAAATGGTTATTTTCACGTTGGGGAAATACAGTAAATAATAACCGCTTAACCTCAGCGCTGACGCCCTCCCGGACACCAGCAAGACACAGACAACCGACAGTCACGTCTGCCACACTCCGGGAGGAACAAGAAACCCACAGCGGGTGGTGGCAGGAGCCGCCAGGCCTCCTCCACTACCTAGAGATGCGGGCGTCGCCGCGGCGCTGCCGGCCGCTCCCAGAGGAGCGGCGCCCACCCCGCCGGGCCGGGGACGCGGGGCCGGGCAGGCTTTGCGGCCTAGCGCTGTCCCGCCAGCCGGCCTCGCACGGGGGGCCGGGCCAAAGTCGCCGTCTGGGGGGCCGGCCGCCGCGGGACGCCACCCCCCTTCCCGCGCGCCCGCGACCCCCACTCACTTGGTCCTGCAGTCCATGGTTACATGTCGGTGTGGGGCTGTCCGTCCCGCCCCCGCGCCGGCCTGAGAGCCCACTGTCCCGCGCTGGGAGGGTCGCGCCGCCCCCGCCCACGCCGGCCGCCCCGCGGGGAAGGAGGCCACTCACAACGGCGGCGGTGGCGGCGGGCCCATGTCGGCGGCGCCCCCGGCGCTTCCCCGCCTCCCACCCCACCCCCCAGAGCCTTTTTGTGACAGCAGCAGCAACAGCGGAGGCGCGGCCGCCGCCCCCGTCTTCGGCGGCCGCTGCCCACGCCGCCTCCGAAACTGGGGCCTCTCTGTTCCTCCGACCGGGGCCGCCCGCAGCGGCTCCTGCACCTTCTGCAAACCAGGAAGTCGCCGGGAGGGGGGAAGGGGCGCGCGGGGGCGCGCCCGGCGGCCTCACCTGGGCCGCGCGGCCCGCGGGCCGTAGCCTGAGGAGGAGACTGGGCGGGGTCCTCGCGCCCAGAGTGCCCAGAGGGTTGAGGGGAGCGCAAGTGTCTGCCCGAATGGCCCACGTACCGCTTTGTAACTGAGCCAGAAACGCAAGGTGCCCCCTGTGTCCTCAGACCTGGACCAGCCAACTTCCTTTCTGGGTCCAGTCCAGGCTCCAGGGCTACAACCCACCCAGAAAGCAAAGTAATTGAAATAGTACCTCGATTTGCAGTTTTCCACACCATATATACACATGGAATTGGATCACCAATTAATAGGTATTGTTTGCTAGAACCTTCGTCGTTTTGGGGCGTTTCATTTCGCTTCAGACTGCACTTTGGAGCTCAAGTTGATGCTCCTGGCTCCTGCCTCACTCCAGCTGTGGCCTGCTTACTGCTCTCTGAAATCCAGAGCTGCCCCCCTCCTGATTCAGGAATGTTCAGACATATGCACCTGCTAAATAGCCTTGTCTAGTAGCAAAATGGTAGTGCTCCATTTGCCTGCACATATGGAAGCCAGACGTTCTTATACCAAAGGACCGCAGCACGCCAAAGACTGACTTTGGACACGTTCTCCACGCGGCAGGCCTAGTAGAACAGCAGTCTAGGGGCTCTGGGAGGGCACAGCTGAGGGTGACAGAGGCCAAAATAAAAAGCTAAAATTTACAGGGCACTAAAGTACCTGTTAAGCAGGTTATATGTATTGTCACAGTATTTACCATAACTCTATGTGATAGATACTTGCGTCAACATTTTATAGATGAAGAAACAGGCCAAGCTAATCCAGTAGGTGCTAGCAAAGCTGGATTTCAGAACAGGTCTACTTGATGCTGATAGTTACTTCTGCCACGTACTGCCTTGTCGTGGTCTGCTGCCTTTTATTTAGGATCTACCGAGAAGAGGCGTAGAAAAAGTCTTACGGTGCACATTTAAAAGATAGTCCAAGACTGGACAATTGCACAGAGATCTTCTGGAGAAGACTTCTCCTGCTAACGTTAGCACCCTTGACACATGGCCACAGTGTTTTTCATCCATATAGGGGTTGCTTCAGACTTTATTCATGCAAAAGGAAAGATGATGAGAGGAAACCAAATATGGTGTGAATAGAGTATGAGTCATGAGACCTGAAAGTCATACAGGGAGTCTTGGGAATTAAATAAAGAATTCAGAAGCAAATACCTAACATTAAATTCAGTTACGCAGATCTGAAACGTTCTTGCCAAAGGTAGGTGCTACTTGGTCAACAAAATGAAATATATTTTGTAGACACAGACCTGATGGTCAAAAATAAGGTCAGGACAGAATAGGGAAACAAAAATATTAGATTTAAGCATGATGTGCTGTCATAGCTTGACTTGGGGTGAGACACTTCAGTTTCTCAGTTCCTACATTTCTTAAATGGGAATTATTACTTGTATATCACATGAACAATGTGATATTCAAGTTAAAAAGTACTACACACTGGTGTGCTCTTTTAAGAAATTGTTCTGTGGATTTCAGTTTCACAATTAGGCAGTCTGTACCACATAATTTTTTTTCCCAAATGAAGCTTCTTTCCACCTAAGTACTTAACATAGTACAAAGCCTTGAAAAAATTTCTGTAATAAAAACCACTTCTGCTCCAAGTGTTGCTAAATTTTTCAAACTTCTCCTTTCATTATAATTAATTCTTTTCCCAAGAAAAGGAAACTTACCTGGGATGCCTACATCAGGAATTTGTTAGTGGTAAAGAAATATTTATACAATTGCTTTCCCTATCCATTTGTTGTCATACCCCTGCATAATAGAAAATGTTATTTTTTTAAATTTATCTTAAGTATATGAAGGGAAAACACTGCATATGCACGCATAAACCAAATCTCTTTAAACCAGCTCTTAGGCTGACCATGATGAGGAGATATATTTATCTATTTTGAAATTACTGAAGTAAAAGAGATAGGAAAACAGATAGACACAATTTGAATGATTTATTAAAAATTACTAAAAAAGGACATTTTTATACACTTATATTGGTGATATGTTTAATGAAGTCAGTAGTACAATTTTAGCAATGCTTATTTCATATGGAACTTCTGATATGACTGATTGAGAAGTGTGCAAAGGGCAAGGCTTCAAGTTGGTATTATATCTTTACAAGATCATATTTCAGCAATAATATTTCCTACTTGACAATTGATACTAACATTTCTCGGGACCACAGTAGTCAAAGAACATGGCCTATGTTCTCGCCAGAAAACATAGAACTATATGCCAAAGAACTATAAACTGTTAGTCTTTTTCAATGTTTTAAACTCATTTTAATTTTTGACATGTGTTTATAACGAGTGTATGTTCAGCAGGTCTTGGGCAAGGTGTTCTAAAAATATGTCCTTGATCAGAACTTGCCTATGGTTTTGCCATAGTTTGCTTGCCCCAAATTGCAGTTCTCTGCTATTCCCAAATAAACCCATTTTTGTTGGAAAAATAAGTGACAGTTTTATTTTTAAGGTTAACATTACTCTGGTGATCAGAAGTGGGATCTAGAGAAGACCCCCAGCAGGTCTGAGGCTGGTGAGAAAATAGATACCACAGAGTCAACTGGGCCCATTGCTTTTTTGCCAACCCTGGAGTTTGAGGGTAAGTTTTTTCCTGGATTTAGAGCTCTGCTTTCTTTGTGTTTGAGCTCTCCGGGCTTTATTCAGGTTCTATTTTTAAGGCCTATCCTTTCTGAGAGTACTTGTTTGTTCTTTGGTCTGACTCCTTTTCAGAAGCAGATTGTTTTTAGTGGAACTGTGCCTGTTGGAAGTGTGTTGGCCTTCAACCCAATTCCTTTTCAGAACCAGACTGTTCCTGGTGGAACTGTGATGGCCTCCAGTTTGAGTCCTTCTGGAACCAGAATATTCCTATTGAAACTCTGCTGTTTAGGAATTTTGCTCATCCCACTCATCAAATTGCTTTGAGAGTAGTGGGTCCCCCCACTACTGGGACTCTAGTGGTTTTAGTTTTTCAAACTATGGTACCTCTCCAGTGCATTTCCAAACTAAATGAATCAACTTAACCAAAAGTAATTTAGAACTTTAGTGGCCATGATGGGGAACTTCAATCTCCCCAAACCTACTTGTTTTTCTTTACATTAAAAAGCTGCAGCTCCTAAGAAAAATAGGAGAACAAACAAACAAAAGGCCTTGATCAAGTATTATGATTGTTATTGATGTTTTCTATTACTATGATTGTGTTATTGATATCTTCTATTAGTATGATTGTGTTATTGATATCTTCTATTACTGAATTTGCATCTGCTTAACAAGTCCTTCATGGGAGAGATGACTTAAAATTTCCTAATGTGATGACAGATTTGTCAATCTCATAGTTCTATTTTTGCTTTATGTGGTTGGGGCCTGTGTTATATGCACAGAGGTTTATAATTATTTTATTTGCCTGGCAAATTTATCATTATGTTGTGACTTTCTTTGATTCTAGTAATGCTTTTGCCTTAGCATTTAAATGGCTTTCCTCTGATTAGTATTTGTCTAGTATTGGTATAACTCTTTCCACTCTATTACATTAAAATTTTCTAAATCATTACATTTCAGATTATCTAATTAGTGTTAATTTTGACTTTTAGTCTGGTCTAATAATTTTTGACTCTTAGATCAAACATTTAGACATTGCATGTTTTATAATTGCTGATATATTTCAATTTATTTCTGCCTTCTAATGTTGTGCTCTCCATTTGTTTTCTTCTGATCTATGTTTGTTTTTTTTTCTTTCACCATTGCCTTCTTTAGGATTGTTGGCAGTTTGTCTTTATGTTGCCGCTTCTCCTCCTAGATTTAGTTTGGAAGTTATATACTCTATTCCTATTTATTTAGTGGTTATCCTAGGAATTTTAACAGGTAAATTTTAATTGATTAAATTCATAATTTATCAATTCATCAGCCTTTTCCCAGGCAGCACAAGAACCTTTAAAACCCTTTAAAATTAACTTTCATCAGTTCTGGAAAATTCTGAACTCCATTCTTTCTCCCTTTTCCTTCTGGGACTCTTACTATACACACATTCTCATTTACACTCTATGTCTCTTAACATTTCTTTCATAGGTTTTTGCTTGTTTGTTTGTTTTATTCCCAATCTTCTGAGGCTGACTTCTGGATAATTTTGCAGATATCTTTCTGTTTTATTACTTCTTTCTCTGGCTGTTAAATCTTCTGTTAAAGCTATCCATTTAGGTTTTAATGTGTATTATTTTCATTTCTAAAGTTCTGTTTGGTTATTTTAAATCTACTTTCTCTTCATTCATATTTTAAGCGTCTCCTTAATTTCTTAAGATATATTTAACATACATATTTTCAATCTTTTTTCTGATAATTCCAGTATCTGAAGCATTTGTGAGTCTGATTCTACTATCTGACTTTCTTCTGCTGGTTTTTCTTTATAGTCTCTTGGTTTTTTTCTGTTTGGTGATTTCTTTTTATGTTACCTGATCCTTGAAGTTTTATATGTGGAGATGTAATGAGTTCTGAAGAGAGGAGTTTTCTGGAAAGAATATTCATTTACTGTTGGTAGATGTCTGGGGGGTGTCACTACCAGTCAGGGCCCTTTCATACTAAATTCTTAACTGGAAATTTTT